CTTTCCCTCCAGCTCTGGGACTAGACTACCATAGAGACACCGCCCTTTCCTTTCGCCTCCCCCCCACCCCCGTGTACCTTGTGCTCCTGGGAACGTTCGTTGATGCGAAGGGAGTAGACCGAAGCAGGCGTGCAAGGAACCTCCGTCTTCACATCCCCGCTGACCTGACAGTGACTGATAACTGGCCCGTCTCCCGCGGTCAGGATCTGCGGTCAAGGGAGGGTCAGAGGTCAGCCACCACGACCGCTCCCCGTCCCTCAGCCTCCCAGTGCAAAGGGATCTGGGAGACCCGGGACATGGATCCCATTGAGCGATCCGATTCCCCAGGGCGTCGCGGGCTCGTGTCGGTGTCTGTGGGATCCTGTCCCTCCCTCAGAGAGCACGGGGCGGGGAGGCTTGCTGAATACAATCGAGAGAGCTTTGAAGGCGGCGAGGGAGGAGGGGAATGGACAGGAGATCGCGAGGGAGGCCGACAACGGATCTTGACCAATCCAGGAGCAAACAGGAGGGTGGAATGGCCTGGCTGGGTTTCTCCGGCGGTCCCCGTCTCCCCCGCCACCCCCACCATCCCCCAACCCCACCCTGGCAGCGGGTACATACCAGGTCCTGGTAGAACATCGCCTGGAGCTGGCTGCCCTGGAGAGGGTACACCGTGGTCGGTGTGACGGAGCGCAGGTGCCAGAGGGAGAGGGCAGGACCTCCACCACACACCTCCGAGATGGGCAGAGACAGAGACAGAGACGGGGTGGGGTGGTGCAGGCAGGGAGCAACAGCAGGAGAGAGGGAGAGAGAGACACACAGCGATATAGAGGGACAGCGAGAGAGAGAGGGCGGGAGGGAGAGCGAGAGAGAGAGAGCGAGAGAGAGAGAGGGAGGGAGGGAGAGAGAGCGAGAGAGCAAGAGAGCGAGAGAGAGAGCGAGAGAGAGAGCGAGAGAGAGAGCGAGAGAGAGAGCGAGAGAGGGAGGGAGGGAGAGCAAGAGAGAGAGGGAGGGAGGGAGGGAGAGCGAGAGAGAGGGACACACAGCAAAAGAGAGAGGGGGAGAGAAAGAGACCATGTGAAAGAAGAAGGTGTACGAGGAGGAGAGATGGAAAAAGAGTGAGAGGGAGGACAATGAAGACAGTGTGACACAGAGAGAGGGGGTTTAGGGGCAGGGAAGGGGGAGACACAATTAAGAGGTGAGTATTACAAAATTGTAATGCAGACGATTCTCAGAGAAAGACACCAGCTGGAAGAGGAAGAAAGGAGCACAGTGCCCAGGCACCACTCCTCTGCTCCCACCCGCAAGAAACAGGGGCCCAGTGTGCAGGGGAGAGATACACTCCCAGCTCTGTCCGAGATCCCCCCAGACCCAACGTGCAGGGGAGAGATACACTCCCAGCTCTGTCTGAGATCCCCCCAGGCCCAACGTGCAGGGCAGAGATACACTCCCAGCTCTGTCTGAGATCCCCCCCAGGCCCAACGTGCAGGGCAGAGATACACTCCCAGCTCTGTCTGAGATCCCCCCCAGGCCCAACGTGCAGGGCAGAGATACACTCCCAGCTCTGTCTGAGATCCCCCCCAGGCCCAACGTGCAGGGCAGAGATACACTCCCAGCTCTGTCTGAGATCCCCCCCAGGCCCAACGTGCAGGGCAGAGATACACTCCCAGCTCTGTC